CCGCGAACGAGCACGGGCAGAGCGCAGAGCGGGGCTGTCACGGCCCTCGGCCCGGGCGGGACCCCGCGGCCTGGTCAGGACTTGGATGTGTGTAGAGTCCCAAAATTAAGGTCGAAACCCCGAGTCTAGCTGGAGGCTCCCTGCAGGAGCCAGCTGTGGTTTGAGAGGGGCCCTGGGCCTTCAAAGTTCTTGGTAAAATTTGCAGGTTTGGGTATTTTTGGTACTGGGAATGAACACGGCTTTCACTTGGAGCTACAGGCCCAGTTCTTTTTTATTCTCTAATTTTTGGAGACAGGGTCTTATTAAATTACTAAGTTGCCCAGGCTGGGCTTGAACCTGTGATCATCCTGCCTCAGCCTCCCAGAGCACTGGGACTCCGGGCTTTTGCCACAAAACCTGGCTAAAGTTTGAGTTCTTAAAATGGGTCTGTGAGGCCATTGTGGTGAGAAGATGTCACATACATTTTAATAAAATTATATCTACTCAATATTTAACAAAAAATAAAAAGGGGCAAGATTGAGTGACTAAAATCCGCGATCTCACAGCTGCCCCTATGGCCTGGCCACCTGCGTCCCCTCTGGAGTCCACCTGCTCTCTTGTTCAGGGCACAGTCACGATCCTGAGCCACAGAGAGTTGCCGGCGTCCACTCACCCAGGGCCGTGTTGCCCAGCACCAGCGGGGCGTTGGGGTGCTGTGCCCGCAGCCCCAGGAGCTCCTGCAGGGTCCCAGGGGAGACCCAGGTGACTCTGTCCCCACGGAAGGTCAGTGTGTGTCGTTCTGGGCTCTCTGCCATCCGCTGGGCACAAGTGACGAGAGTGTGCATGAGTGAGAGGCTGGCCAGGGTCCCAGGACCATGCCCAGGAGGACCCGGAGCCTTGGCATAAGCTGGTCCCCGGCCCTGCAGTCCTACTTATGGCAGCCATGCTGGCCACTGTGGCCCACACGTGTCAGGATGGGCCCGGCACCTCCGAGAGGGTGACAGGCCTCATGCTCCCTCCATCCCACACTGAGCTCCTCCCATCCCTCCCATCCCAGCCCAGGCTCCCGAAGCTCTGCCATCCCCACCGCGAGGGGCCTCCCTGCTCTCTGGGCCATGTCCGCGCCACACCACCTCTGTCGGTGAGCACGCCGGCTCCTCCCCAGGGCCCCTCCTCCCCCTGGGCCTCCAAGGCTGCGCCCTTGGCATCAGGCACAGGTCTCTCCTCTGCCGCCCCAGTGACAGCGCCTATCTCATGAAGGGTAAAGGCGGGGGACACTGAGGCGGACACGTCCACCCAGAGTCACCCCAAGTGCTGTCTGAGCCCAGGACTCTGTTCCTGCTGCCCACTACCTTCTCCCTGACCGTGTGTCCCTTCTGCAGATGTCTTCGGATGGCAGCTCTGAGCCAGGTCTTCCCTGGCTTGGATATTTAGATTGCAGCTGCCTATGTCCTGTCCCGTTTTTATTTTGTTTTTCCCTCCCGCCACTCTGCACTGGCTGACGCCATGTATCTCTTGCCTGTTATTCGCTCTCATCTGCCTCTCTGTCTGTCATCAGATGGACCAGAGCTCCTCCAGCAGACACTGTCAGCCCTGCTCTGTCCCTGCCACCCCAGGGTCTGCTGCTGACAGGTTTTGAGCGGATGGAGTGAACACACAAGGCACTCTCTGAGCCTGTCCTAGGAGCCCTGGGTCAGCTGGGGCGGGGGGCAGCGGGCTACGGGGCCTGGACGTGGGCTGGCCTCCCGGGTGGTCTGGGGCAGAGTCCTGGTGGGGACCCCGCTTTCCGAGCAAGGCTCAGGGTGGGGGCAGGCAGCCCCTCTCACTGCAAGCTCCGGGGGGAAGATGGGCTCCTGGGTCGGGTCCAGGGGCTGGAACTCGGCCGTGGTGAACAACTCCGAGCACATCTGTGGGGGTAGAGGAGGGGGCATTGGGCGGGGAGTGAGCCTGCAGGGGGCACAGGCCAGCTCCCCCGCGGAAACCCACACGACAGATGCCCAGAGCGCTCCTGAGAGCTGAGTGTGGGCCGTCATCACCACTGCTCCAGGGGGCACAGGGCAGGGTCCCCCGGAGCTCAGGGTCCCCAGATGCATCTGGATGTGTCCCTGCAGGGCACACCGTGTGGCCGGCTACCCCCAGCCCCACCTTGGGACTGGTGTGTGTTTCTGGGTGAGTGTGGAGCCGCTGCCCACTCCGGGTTCCCACCAGGCTGGGGCTGGCTTGGGTGCTCTGGGGTCTGGCTCACTCTCTAGCCCTAAAGGTGGAGGCGGCAGAGCTGGGACCCGCGAGTGCCTCTGTCTGAGGCTGCTGTGGGCACTCAGGGCCCCGGTGCCCCATGCTGGCCTCTTGCTCCCGCTTCCTCTTTGCTCCTCCAGGGCCTTGGCGGTGCCCTCGGGAGCTGAGTGTCTCAGACAGCAGGGCCAGGAAGCCTGCAGGACTGTGACAGGGCCCTGCCTTGGAGGGAGGAGGAGATGCAGGGGCCTGGAGCCCGGCCCCCATCCTCTGGGTGATGCTGCTGCTGCTGCTGGAAGGCTTGTGCTCGCTGCTCCAGCCTTGCAGACCAGGAAGGGAGAAGCCAGAGGGTGGGACAGGGCACTTGGGCCCCCTGCACCCAGCTCCAGGGAGTGCATGGGCGTCACCAGTGAGGGCCGTAGCTGGCTGCTCACAGCCCTGCTGGACACCCCAGGCATGGGCGCTTGCCCCTGGACATGGCCACTGTTCCACCATGGACGGGGACACTCACAGGAGCAGGCAGGCCGCTGTTCCCTGCCGGCCAGGAGTCGTCCCCTGGCTGGTCCAGGCCGCACTGTCCTGCTGCTCTCTGCCCACAGCTGCCCGAGGCCTGGGAGGAGAGACTCTGAGTCACGAGCTCTGCCCTGAGAGGGCGGAATCCGGCAGCGGGAGCTGCAGGTGTGGAGGTCAGGATAGTGCAGCCCAGAGTGGGCTTCTGTGCTGTGTGCTTAGAGTGGGGTGAGCAGAACGATGTGTTATTTATATTGTATAAACTGTGTGATGCCGTGTAAAGTAACACATGGCATAGAGTATGACATGCAACATAAAATTGTAACAAATATAAAATATAAAATAACATAGAAAACGTAGACGTCCAAAAGAAATAAGTAGTCTTCATCCCGTTCCTTTGGTGTTAGTCTGATGCAACACATATTTAGGACTGTACTATATTGATATAGTACATATTTATAAAGCACATAGTACATGGACATTTTTGTTCATTCCATGTGCAGTTTGTGTATATTTCTGAATTTTTTACGGTTAATTTCTAGTGGTAAAATCAAGTTTTAAGTTGCTTTATGCTGGTTGTAAAGGTGCATGCCTAAAATCCCAGCACTCAGGAGGCTGAGGCACGAGGATTGCTAGGAGTTTGTGGCCAGCCTGGGATACACAGTGAACTCAAGGCCAGCCTAGACTGCATAGCAGCACGCTGTCTCAAAACACAAACAAATAAATAAATAAACAAATAAATAAGGGGGTAAAGGGAGGGCAGGGGAAAGGGGAAAAATGAGAATCAAGGCTTGTCATGTAGAGGTACAAGATCCCAACAATGAGTGTAACTGTACTGTATCCCTAAAATGTACCAATAAACTCAATTAAAGCTGAAAGAAAACCCCAAATAAATAACTGAATATATAAATAGAAAGGGATGGTGAATATAGCCTGATGTACTCTGTCCCCACTCAAGCACCCGTGCCCATTCCTGGTGCTGGCTGCCTGATCACAGTCCTCACTGGGGAGAGCTGATGTCGGGCATGCGGGGTGACCTTGAAGCAGGTGACAGCAGCCCTCTGGAGCCACAGGCCCCTTGAGTGGCTGGAGGAAGGCGTGGGACCTGCACATGGCTCTCGGGCTGTGTAGCTCTCATCACCCACCCTCAGCTGAAGGCCACGTGTCCTTGTTGATTGCTGTCCATGCCGCCAACTCCGTCCTGAACAGCCGAGGGCCACTCTGCCAAGCCCCTGCCCAGTGCTGAGAGGTGCTCAGGCTCCACGCCCAGGCACAGGGCAGCCTGAGTCAGCCCGGCCCCGCCTGGCCTGCCAGCCCCGCTCCCAGAGCCACCTGGCCCCTCGCCTGTCCTGAGCACTAGAGAGGAGTCTGCATGCTGGGCACTGCCTGGTCCCTGCAGTGTGGATGTCACAGCTCAGGAGAGAGCTCAGACCCAGGGCTGTGTCCCAGCCCGTGGGGTCTGTGGTGACTCCTGGGTCCCTGCCCAGTGCTGCCCTGCCACCGTGCTCTGGGGTCGTCCCCAGCCCCACTCACCGAGCAGAAGGTCCTGCCACTCTCGAGGATGGGCCGGTACCCGGTGCAGCGACACAGGTTCCCTGGGAGGAGAGGGGGCGGCTGCTGGTGACCCCCAACACATCTGTTCTGTCAGTCGCGGTGCTGGGCTGACCCCGGCCCCAAGGCCAGTTCACCGGCAGCAAGGGGCTCTCAGCTGAGTCAGGCGATGAGGCCTTGTGCCGGGCAGTTGGTCAGGGGTTCAGGGAGTCTGCTCTGCCCGGATCCCAGGGGGCTAGTGTCTGGGCGGCACAGGGATCTGCATATCAGGGTCTGTGTCTTCCACTGTGGGGTGAACTTGGGGCCTCAGGCTTCCGGGGACCAGGTTGGGGTGGGCAGAGGCTGTGCCAGGAAGCTGGGCTGAGGATGGCGAGCTGAGGGTGGTGGGGCCGAGCTCTCAGGGACGGGCAGGACAGGTGCAGAGGCCACGGGGAGCCCCGTGGGTGGGAGAAGGCAGTGGGAGGATGGGGGCTGAGGCCTGGCGGGGCTTTGGGGAGGAGCCGCAGGGGTGGGAGAGGATTCTGGAAGGTGGGGACTTCGGATGACTTAATCTGAGACACGGAGACAGAGAGACAGAGACAGATGAGAGACAGAGAGAGTCAGTGACAGAGAGACAGAGAGACAGAGACATAGAGACAGACAGAGAGCTCCGGCTGGCCGGGTCTGTGTGCTCAAGCCCTCCTCTCCCAGAAGCGGTGTGGTAACCCATGGGTGACCTGCTGCAGAAGTTGTGCTGGCCTGGCCCTGATCCACTGAACGTGGCCCACTTGGAAGCAGCACCTCTCCAGCTCAGCAGAGGCCACGCGAGGCTGTGCTGGGGTAAGGCCGGCCCTGCTCCGGCCGCGTGGGGCTGGGACGCAGTGGGACAGACACGCCCACAGCCAGGAGTGCCTGGAGCCTCTCTCTCCCTGGATGAAGCCCCCACACCTGGTGGGGGATGAATGTCCCGGGCTCTAAGAAACCCAGTCATAGGGGTGCTCTGTGGGGCACATCAGGGAGCCCAGAGGCCGCAAGGGGACTGGATGTGAGCAGTCCCACGGTGCCAGGGCTTTGGGGCGACATGCTGAGGGTGGGGTGTGCAGAGCCCCAGGCCCTCACTGGGTTCTCGGCACACCCACCCGCCAGGGCCTCCAGGAGCTGCTCCTCTGTGGGTTGCGGGTGGTTGCGTAGCAGCGTGTACAGCGACATCACCATCCCGGGGGTGCAGAAGCCGCACTGCGTGCCGTGGCTCTTGGCGACCCTCTCCTGCAGGCACAGAGCAAGGCCATGCCCTGTCCCCCGTCACCCCGGCCTTGCCGGGGCCTGCTCTGCCAGCCTCATGGTGGAGCCCAGTGTTTGAGCAGACGTCCCCGCCCCTCCTCGCTGCTGGCCCAGGTAGGACCTCACCCCAGGACCTCTGGACCTGCGCTGCAAGGCGCACAGCCTCTTTGCTCTCGAATGGTCCCCTGAGCGGCGACAGGAGTGGTCAATCAATACCTGTGGACCACTGATGCGTGAGATGTAACAGAAAGACAATTGCCTGATGCAGGTGGGCCCCACGTCCTTTGACTCCCTGGACAGAACCCACTCAGACTTCCACGGACCCGAGACGACCTGGAGGCTGAGGCAGCACGGTCCACAGTGTGTGGGAAGAGATGGAGTCAGAAGTGGGAAGTGGATCCTGCTCTCACCTGCACGGGGTGGACCCTGGTCCTGATGCTCCCCACGCCTTCCACGGTGGTGACGGCCGCCCCGTGCAGCGAGCACAAGGGCACTAGGCAGGCGGTCACGGAGAAGTGTCTGTGGGAGTCACAGGAGAATGACACTTTAGGGTGGCCCGGAAGTGGGGAGGGGACAGAGGAGGAGGCAGCCAGGTCCCTGCTCTGTGCAGGAACAGGGACGCTGGGATGAGCCTGGTGTCCTGACTTCAGGAGAGCTTTCCAAGCTCGGCCTGGACTCCTTGAGGGCAGTGGGAACGGTCTTGACCCTGAGGGCTGCATTTGGACCGCTGTTGGTATCTGCTGGACACGGACCTTGTACAGCCACACCTGTCTTTACACAGATCTGCACACTTGGGCTTAATTTAAGCCATATCAGGACCCCGTCATGGTGGCCAGCCTGTGTTTTGAAGCTGTCTCTTGCTTTAGGCTGGGGACTTGGAAGGAACGCAAGTCCTAGAGTGGCTTCAGTGAGGGGAATGGCAGCCCCAGCCCTAGGTCCTGTCAGCCCCAAGGTGGGAGGAGCGCTCGCTCAGGCTAGAGAGCACAGCTTCCCGCTTCCGGGACCTCAAGCAAGTTACCTGGTCTACCTGAGCCTTGGTCTCCCCCTCGGAGGGGACTGAGAGGGCCGACTCCACTCCCTGTGGGAGGTGAGGGTGTCAGGGGTGGGGGAAACAAAGCTCACCTTGGCTTCCCCGAGGCTGGGTCATGCCGGGACAGCATCACGGTGCAGGCACCGCAGCCTCCACCTCCACAGGCTGACTTGGTTCCTGTGAGGCCCACTGGAGGGCTGGTCAAGGAAAAGAGCCACGGCAAGCCTGGAGTGGGGGTCCCTGAGGAGGGTCTAAAGTCCCTTGCCCTCCTCCAAGGCGGGCGGAATCGCAGGCCTCTGTCGGGGTGTGGCAGAAACCCTCATCACAGTTCACCTCAGTCTCTCAGGGACCTGAGTGGCATGGGGAGTGAGGCCATGAGCCTCTGGGCTCCGATTTCAGGACCTGCTCGAGCCTCCCCCTGGCCTTGGCCTTGCCACGAGGACGGACCCCAAATCCAGGCTTAGCCTGGGCCCCTGCCTTCACTCCGCCTCTCTGAGAGTTGGGTCCCCAAGTGTGTGGGACCTGCTGTGCCTGACCAGGTGCCCTGAGAAGATCCGCCAGCTGTGCCGTCATCTGGCTCCTCGCTGTTGGGCTCAGCTACCAGAGCCCAGAGGCGACCAGGGAGGCCACTGACGGCGAGGACGCCTCACGAAGCCCTGGCCCGGTCACCTCCCCGTTGGTCACGAGAAGAGCGAAGGGGATCTTGATCTTCTCAGCATGAAATTTCCTTTTTTTTGGTACCAGGGATTGAACTCGGGATATTGTGCTTGTGAGGCAGGTGGAGGCACCACTGAGGTAAATCACCAGCCCCTAAATTTCCTAATTTTCAAGTGTGGACAACTCAGTAGGAGCCACGTGGGCCTTTAAACCTGTGTGGAGGCCAGGCCATGCCGCTGTGTTTTCTGCCACTCTGGCCGCTCTGAGAGCTGTCAGGAACAGCATGTCGGTGGCACCTGTGTGCTCTTGTCCTGGACACAGGCCGGGAGGGGCTCTCCTGGCCTGGGAAAGGTGCTGTGCACAAGGGCTGCATGTGCCCCGGCCACTGTCACTGGACACCTGGTTGCAGGCAGCTCTGAGGGAACAGCTCAGCTTCCCCTCATGCCTCTGAATCAGACCTAAACTGCTCAGGGACACCTCATCCTCCCCAAACCAGCCCTGCAACCCGACACCCCTAAACCCGGGCTGGCTGACAGCCAGGGCAGGGGCTGGGCTGGAGAACAAGCTCTGCCAGGCTGGCTGAAAGGGTCCGGTTCCTCCGCAGGAAGGTCAGCAGGGTCACTTCTGGGTCCACATTGCTCTCTGTCACCTGCGTGGGGACAGGAGAGGTGGTCAGCGTGGATGGTGTGTGACCCTAGACCTGACTGGCCCTACACTGCTGTCCTGCGCCCGGCAGCATTTGAGCCAGCTCCCTGGACGGGGCCTCTTCTGCGCAATGACAGCGGGGCTGCTCTGGGCATGGATGCCCTGGTCTGGGCCCTGCACGCTTGTGCCACCATTGATTGGAGACTTCAGCTCCATCCCTTGTGCTCCCCAGAGCCCTGGAGTCGGGGAGGGCCTTGGAGTGCTCCGTGCGTGCGTGTGTGCCTGTGTCATGTGTGTGGTGCATGTGTGCGTGTGTGCTTGTGCATGCACATGTGTAACAACAGGCCCTTTAGGGCGCAACGCTGGAGGAGTTTGGGGGCATCTCTGAGGCCTCTGGGGGGCACCTTTGGGGACATCAGGGATCTCCGGGCTTCATGCAGCGAAGGGAGGCGGAGAGGGGCTGTCACCCTGGGGCACTTGCCTGCGCTGGATGGCAGTGTGGCCTCAAATAGACCTGAGAGCTGCTGCCCCTTCCAGGCCAGGAGGCCTGTCCTGGGAGGTCTCGTGCCCGAGGGGCAGTGGTGCCGAGTGGGAAAGGGCTGCCGGGACACCCGTGGAGGACAGTGGGGACAGGAGGGGCGGTGGCCATCAAGACCCCAGAACCGACGCCTGGGGGGATCAGGCTGCCTCCAGTCGGCAGAGCGGGGCTGGGCAGGAAGTCTGGTCAGCAGAGAAGGTGCGGGAGGCTGTGCCTGTGCACACACTCCTGGGTATGAGGGCCGGCAGGCTCCGGAACCTTCTGGTCTCAGCCTGGCTGTGAGCATGGGGCCAACCACCAGCTGACAGGCCGGCCCAGCTGCGGCTCCTGGCTTGCACAGCGCTTACCTTCCTCCCATTCACGAAGAAAATCAGCTCATTGGAGCTGGGAGACATGGCTGGGCTGAGCTGTCTGTCCACAGGAGGAGAGGAGAGTGGGAGCCGGCAGTGAGGCAGAGCCGGGTGGGCAGAGCCGGGCGGCAGCGGGCAGGTGGCGGTGATGCCTGGCTTCTGGCTTTTGAGCTGGAGCCGGGCCCAGCCTCTGCCCCACCCTCTTAGGCTGGCGCTGGCCCTGGCACAGCGCACCTGTCTCGGGTTCCCTGCAGCTGGCGGGGGCAGCGGGGAAAGCTCACCTGCAGTGCTCTTGGGGTCAGCTGCGTGCCCTCTACACCACTGCCCTCCTCCCCGGGCTGCATGCGGGAGACCAAGTCACTAAGCAGAACAGCAGGCGAGGCCCTGAGGGCAGGCAGCAGGGCAGCGAGGTCGCTGGGGCTGCAGGCAGTGGGGCCAGGTGGCCCCTTCAGGGGACACAACCCCAAGGCCCCGCAGCAGCCCCTCCAGCGCGTCCCTCCTGCAGGCAGGGCCTGCTCCGTGCCGTGGTGCTGTGGGGCTCCAGGAAGCCTTCCTGTGGGAACGGACATGCAGGCTGGGAGTGGCAGACACCGGCGTCCTCACGCCCGGCTGGCCGAGGGGTACCTTCCTTCTGGCCACCCTCTGCCACAGGGGCCGGAAATGCAGGTGCTGGCAGCACTGGGTTCCTTCACAAGCGCAGTGCTCTGGCCTCAGGCACTCGGTCTCTGTTCCCTGCAGAGGGGAGCTTGGTGTTGAAGTGTGAGTGTTTCGCACGTGCTGAGGAAGATTGGAACTGGACAGGGTGGTGCAGGCCTATGATTCTAGCACTCTGGGAGGCTGAGGCAGGAGGATCCAAAGTCCATCCCTAGGCAACTTACAGAGACCCCATCTCAAAACATAAGAAGCCGAGCGGAGATGTAGCCCACTGAGAAGGTCTGGGTTCAACCCCCAGTATCCCCAAACAAAAACAGAACCCCAGGAGCCGTGGAGGAGCCTGGCAGGGCAGGCCAGGAGGGAAGCTCAGTGCACACCGGTTAGGGAAATCCCCACCACCACCTCTTCTCCCAGGCTTGGGCTCAGTGGCAGGAGCACAAGTGACACCTGTCCTGCCCCTGCTTCCGGGCCCAAGTTCCTCAGAGCTTCATGCTGTCTTCGGCCTGCACAGGTGCTCAGGGACATGGCTGGGACTCAGTGTGAGTCCCAGCCCAGGCCAAGCGGCTCCCACAGGGAGCGAATGCCCTTGGGGCTCCTTGTGGAAGAACAGAAGTCTCTGCATCCTCGACCCTCCCTCGACTGGCTTCCCCTCTCCTCTGCGACCACAGATGGCTCCCAGCCCCTCCGCTCCTCTGTCACCTTCACTGTCCTTGAAAACCAGGCCAGGACGGGAGGCTGCAGCGGAGGGGTCTTCCTGGCCGGCTCTTGCCCCAGGAGGCCATGGGCTCCGGGAAGAGCCAGGCTGGGGGGCGCCATCCATGGCGAGCGAGTGGCCTCACACCAGGGGCTGAGGTGCAGGGGACACAGCCACCATGGCCTTTTCTCGTGTTTAAAGTTTCCTAAGGCAATTCGAGTGCAGGTAAACATTTATGCTTTTCAGGGGAACTCCCGTATCTGGGGACAAAGACAGGGCCAGGACACATGCAGGCCTGGGGGTGGGGCTGGGCACCTGGAGCAGAGGGGAGGAGGCCAAGCAGGGAGAGCGAGGACCCCAGACCCTTCTGGTGGGGACTTCAATCGCAGGAGAACCGACCCATTGCCTTTCCTCCTCTGCTGTTCCCTGTGAAAGCGGCACCTCGGGCACAGTGGCTGAACATGCCTGAGCCACGGGGTCGCAAGCAGATCAGAGCAAGCCCTCCGTGTGCCCGGGAAGCGGGGCACTGGGCAGAGGCATGGGAGCTGGACGCAACAGGTGCTGGGATTAGGGGCCAGTGCTGCAGGGGCCTGGGAACCGGTTTGTGCAGGAAGTGCTGGTGTGGACCAAATGTGAACAGATCACACAAAGGCGGCTCCAGCTAGGAGCAGGTGCAGCGGGGAGGGGAGAGGTGGCTGAGGGATGGGAGCAGCTCCCGCCCAGGGCCTGGCTCTTGAATCCTGCTTAAGACAGTGGAGTGAAGCAGTGACTTGTTCTGTTTTTCTTTAATGAAAGAGGAGGAGAAGTGTGTGCATCCTGGATGGATGGCTCTCGTGCCCTCCTGGCCACTATGCTGGCTCCTCTCAGCCTGCAGCCGTCTCCTCTGAATCCTCCAACTGGGTCCCGGGGGGCCCTGGATCTCTTGTTGCTTCTCAGAGCCCAGTGCTCCCGTGGCAGCCCATGTGCAGGCGCGCGGTTACACAACAGGCCGGATTCGCGCCAACTTCCTGTTGGCCACGGTGAGCGATGGCAGCCAGACAACTCCACCCTCTCCCACAGCACACAGAGCCGTCTGCAAAACCCAGCAACACACCTGCTTGTTCTCAGTCGTGGAGAGGTGTGCGGGGCGCGACCTTCCATTTGGGCTTTTTGGACCCAGTGCTGGAGTATGGTGTGCAGATGGAGGGCACTCTTCGGGGCTGCCTGGCCGCCACTGAACCTCACTGAGACACTCTCCTCCTCCCGGCCCTGCTCCCACCTTTCTGCCAGGAGGGGAAGCCCGGGCTCTGAGGAAGGGGGTTCTGACACCAGTGCGCAGAAAACCAGGGATAGGGACGGCGGAGAGAAGGGTCCTGGGTGGTGGGGGTTGTTACTGGGCGGCTGAACCCCTCCTGCCCAGGTCTGGGCAGTGTGCAGAGGCCGCTACCAGAGCATGTGGACTAAAGTCACTGCCTGCTGCCACCACAGTGGTGTCCCTAGGGACCCGGGGTTCAAACCAGAGTCTCCTAGCAGTGGGTGGGTTGCAGACCTCTGAGGGGACGTGGCGTGGCCGGCCTGCTCCATGATCTTCCCTGGGGCCTGGGACTTGCAGAGTGATCTGGTTGAGGTGACATTCTGTGGAGCAGTGTGGCCCTGTGCTCCTGTGTCATCTGAGGACAGTCCCCTGGGAGCTGGCAGAGGCTCAGGAGGGAAGAGGACACAGGCGACAGGAGCCGAGCCCGGGTGTGGTGTCCACAAGCCCAGGCTCCCCAGTCCTCCAGCCCGGAGGACCCAGGTGGACTCTTCCCAGGGCTCTTGGGGGCGGGCACGGTGGCCCCTTGGCCTGTGACTCTGGCCAAGAGGGAAGAAGGAGCTGCCACTTTTGCTGTCCACACAGCCCTGGGGACCAGCAGGACATGCCCAGCGCTGTCTGCCTGGGGGGCATATGGCTCCCCCAAAACACTGTGCACACAGACAGACCAGTGGGGAGAGCAGGTGAGGACGGTCAAGGCTGAAACCCAGGGAGTAATGTGGAGACGGTGTAGTCACACTCTGCATGGTCACACAGGAGTGCAGGACACGAGATGTGGGACTCAACACAAGAGCCCACGCGTGGCAGGAGAGAAGGACAGTGGGGGAAAGGGTGACGCAGCACTGAGGAGCTTTCTGTGTGCCCAGGCCACCCTGAGTCCTGCTGGAGACCACGACAACCGGCCACGTCCCCTGACGCCTTCTGCATGGTCTGTCTTCTAGGCTGGAGAGCAAGTTTGGCAAAGGAAGCAGAATCAGCTCAGCACCAGGAGTCTGGGCCACACAGTGGACGCCAGAGGGTGCAGCCAGAGCAGCAGGGCTGAGGGGCAGAGGGCGCTGGGTGCCTGCAGATGTGGTGATGCCGTCCTTCCAGGGCAATGCAGTGAGAGGAGCACAGGGGACAGGAAGGCCAGGGGAAAGGGCCGCCAAGTCCCAGGAGGTGGCACTCAGCCCGCCCCACTGTCCAGTGGCCTTGGCTGGTGATGGGCGAGGCACACAGATATACGTGTGCGCCTGTAGGTGGTGGAGATGTGACAGCTGGGGCCCGACACCCCCACAGCCTCACGCGGTCAGAAGTGGCTAAATCTGGACTGTGTGGTGCTGGGATTAAAGGCGCGTGGTCATTAAACCACTACTGTGAGTGAGTGGTCTAGCACCGCCCTAATCCCAGTAGTCTGGAAGGGACAAAAGAGGCAGGAAGGCGCGGAGAAGGCCCCTGGCTGCCTCTGCTGCCCTGTGAGCACCATGTTGCTTCTCCTCTGCGACGCCCATCTGCCGTGCTGCCCTGCCCTGGAGCCTGCTGGCTATGGACTGACCCTCTGTGAATTGTGAGCCAAATAAAGCCCCTCTAGCTGTGGGTGTCAGGTGTTCAGAAAAGTGATCAACACAGATGAGTAACGGAAGGTGCAGCTGAACTCCCAAATGTGCAAATATCTACATCATGCAGTATGTTATATACTATGCAATAAGTATGAGAGGTATTAAGTAAAAGTTAAAACTTTCAGTTATTATATGAAATTTGAGTGAAATTAATTCTATCACTTAAAAATAATGATTAGCAGATTAGATTAGAAAAGAAAGCCCTAGACACAGGTGTGTGTTATTAACAGTGGTAAGAGGGAGAATGAAAACTACAGAGGGGTCAGAGAGCTGACACCCAGTGAGACAGCTCATGACATCAGAGGGTTTTTGAACAAAGACCCAGGAGCACACGAATTTAGAGACAAATTTTGTGTAATTGTTAAGATAATCACAATACTGGCCAGGACTTTAGCTCAGTGGCACTGCACCTGCCTTGCAAGCACAAGGTCCTAAGTTCAATTCCCCGTATCAAAAATAAATAAATAAATAGATAACTGCAATACTAAACTCTCCTTGACATATAAAAGTAGAAATTCTGCCCAATTCCTCTTATAAATCTAAAAAATTTAATACCAAACCCAATATGGATGTAGAAAAAATTGTACACAAGTTCCATTTGTGAGTATAAATGCAAAAATTCTAAGTAAAATAATAGCAGAACAGAATCCAGCAATGTTTAACAAGATAATATTCCAAAAAAGATTGTTTCTGAAACAGCAGAGTGGTTTAACAACAGGAATGGATCACATTATAAAATCCAACTTTGTACATCGTATTAAAAACAAAAAGAAGGCAAAGAATCAAATCAATGGGTGCCTGGATCATCCATGAAGTGGCCGGTCCCCAAAAGCTCTCAGTGTAAGAAAAGGAAGTAGGAGCACTTGCTGCTGAAGTGAGGCTACTCAGAAAAGCCAGGAACTAAAGGTACTGGCAAAGTGAAAAAGACTTCAGTTAAACTCTGGGAGCAGACGGGATGGCCTTTCTCTGTTCCTACATAACATTGCCTTGGAGGTTGTAACAGCTGTAGTAAAACAGCGAGGAGGTGAGAAAACGGATTAAGATAAACACTGGTGGAGAAGGAAACAGTCTAGTGACTGAAGTAACAAAAATCGAAAAATTAATAGTTTTTGTGATTACCTCAGTAAGTAGATAAAGATGGAAGTGGAAAAACTTTCCAGTCACAGTAATTCCAAAACACAGAATACTTAAAACCAAAGTCGAACCCTGGTCCTTCCCCCTTCTCATGACAGAAACCCTAGGAGCCAGGAGACACCGCGCACCCCAGAGGAGAGTGACAGAGGCCACTGGCCAGGCCCACGCCCGCTGCTCGAAACCCAGCTCTCCCACAGCCTCGTTTTGAAGTCAGACAGCAGCAGGCACTTATCTAAATTAGTATTCAGCATGCCACATAACAGACGCTATAAACTAACTTCTGATCCATCCTGTGTCTGCGGCTTGCTCTCCCATTTCATTTTTGTCTGGGTTTTGTGGTCCTGAGGTTGAAGCCCAGGGCCGCCCTCTAACGGTCGCTGCTTGTGCGAGGTCCTCTCCTCTCACATTCTCAGTCAGTGCCAGGCTGCTGGGACACTGGGCTGCATTTTGTAAGGGTGTGATTTCTGCATGACAGAGGCCTTGCCTCTTCACACACACACTTAAGATGCACACCCAGACCACACACACACACACACACACACGCACACGCACACGCACACCTCCTACAGTAGCAGACATTGACTGCCGAGCCTCAGACCTGAGCCAAGGCAAGGACCCGAGGTCACTCGAGGCCTCCGCTGTCTGTGCGGCCACGGTGGACGAGGACCAGCTGGGGGCCCTGGGGGTGCAGTCTGTTTTGTGGACTGCAGTGCAATGCCCAGGGCTGGGTGCTTCGTGAGGACAAGAGGTTTGTTCTGAATGTTTTGGACTCAGGGTCAGAGGACCACGTGTGGCGAGGCCTCCACTGGGTCACAGTGTGGTGGCTGTGCAGGGGTCAAGGCCCACGAGGAACCAGATCCGAGGAGCGGCCAGGCCGGCTCTTGCCTACGGCCGGCGCTGGTGGCCCTGGTGGCAGC